CCCATAATAAGCATAATAAATGAAGTTCGAATGAAAAAACTGACTGGTATGTAAGTTTTGTTTTCCCATACACGATAATAATCTCTTGTGCAATGGAGGGTAAATAAACATGTTTTTTTTTTATTCTGTATATCATTTATTATATTGATTATAATTTCTCAAGGGGAAATTCAAGTCATAGTCTGCCCTCTATTGAAAAATGTCTCATAACTGAACTATGAATCAATCTAAATCTAGTTTCTCTATAAATCTTAAAGATCTAAAAGAAGATCAAGGCCAAGAGATTCAAAACCGGCTTCCAGCATGAGGTCAGAAAAAAAAAAACCAAACTGCTTACCAGTTTTTAATATAAGGCTGCTAATTTAATGACAAACGCACCACTCCGAGAAAGTGAAAATTAAAGAGAAAAACGACCTGAGCTCTTGCATCTTTCATTTTCATCCTCAATTCAATTCCTGATAAACTATAACTATAACCGAACTGATACTGAAACCTGAAGGGTCAGTTTTTTTTTTTTTTGTCATCTGTTTGTCTATTGGCTAACAATCTTGCCCAAAGAGTATTTAAAGGCACCCACTGGCTTCATCCAAACCATTACAGCATCTACCAATCTGCCAATCACGGGAATATGATGAACAACGTTTGGAAAACTGCAGTTCTCCTGGCTACGACCATAGCAGTTGGTAAGATGATCGGAACGAAGAAAAAAAGTGGCTTTTTATTTATTTATATTTTTTAAATGATATAATTGCAGAATTAATGTAATATCACTTTATATCAAAATCTGATTCACGTGAGTGCTTCAACCTTGCAATTAAACATGAAGTTTGATTATTTATTTATTTATTTTCATTACTGCACAACTATTCCCATTGTGATAAAAAAATGCGAAAAGCGACGTGGTTTTTAATTGGAAACCTTTCGGCTTATCGTGTTATCAGTTTTCAGGGTGCATGAAAGGGTTAAAATACCTTAAGACTATAAATGTTGATATTTATGTAGAAATAACGGATGTATTTGTACATTCGTTATATTCCGATGTATTTATTTCCCAAAAAACAATTTTGTTCCGACATATTTTTTTTTTGGGAGGGCGATGGACGAAAGCAGCCCAAAACATTTCAAACCCTTTCCAAGTGATGCTTACGAAATCCATCACAGCAAATCAACTTCGAACCGTCAAAAGATCTGCGGGCTTTTATGATTAGAACTTGAGATATGGATAATAGATGGAAGGCTCGTTACTAGTAATTCATTATTTGAGTAACACCCGCACAATCTGACAAGACCTATATGGTCATCAAGCCTTTGGACCAATTCAACATAATGGTAACTCTTACTGCTGCAAAACATTTAATTAAATCCGGGTTTTTGGCATCCGATATAATGGACAGACTCGTGAGTGTAGGAGAGGCTAACATGCGTCGCGCTTCCATGTTCTCCACCTGCTTGTGCGGGTACAAAGTATTAGTCCTCATCTAAAATTCTTATTTTTGGCATCGTTTCACCCCACTTGACTGTTTAAGACGATCTAACAAATGTAAATAGAAGACAAAGACAAATCGGAGACAAAAATACTAAGTGAGTTTTGTTTTATAAGTGATTAGTCAGGTCTGGGAGGGGACAGACGATTGTGTCTTGACCAAATATTTTTTGTCTTTTTCGTTTTTCCATTGAATAGCACACTGCTTGACCTGCCTCAGATGCCCCATCAGCGCAGGGGACCTATGTAATTTGGCAGAAGACGTCGAATGTCCTAATCCAACGGACCAATGCTTCCGTGGATCTGTCGGTAAAGAGATGTGACCTTAATTTTTTTAGGTTCCCATGTTTGTGGAGCGTATTTTGCACAAGACAGCTAACTAGCTGAATGTAAGCTAAAATGTATTAACGTGAAATCTCAATGGTAGTGTTTATAAATGTAGTCGATTGCTTCTGATCAATCAAAACTAAATATTATCTTTGTAGAGACAGAATATTTGATAGCTGGTGATGGATTCTGAATTTGCTAACACCCCAATAAGGTTAGAGGCAAAATCGAGTGTCGAAACTCAATCGCTGACATTGATTTATTGTTATGGGATGCCTATTCCAGGTTTTGGTCCTGACTCAGACACCTGCTTACTCGTCACCGGCTGCCTGCCACAGAGCCTGTGCGGGCAAACACTGAATAATCAGCAGCTCGCAGGTGGGCAGCTCGGAGTTGAGTTCTCGGCCGAACTCGAGTGTTGCAACACCGACCGATGCAACGGTGCCACGTCCATCAAGCTCTCCATCGCAACGGCTGTCTCTGCCATCATTTTTTCACTCTGGTTCATGTAGGACCTGGGAGTCACTTGATGAGTTTTTACAGAAGAAACCAAATCTTGCCTGATTGCATTTTTTGGCCTGCTATGAGCGAGAAAATCAAGCAGTGGTTCTCAACTGGTGAGTCGGGACCAAAATATAACATATTTGTATTCTGATTTATTCAAGACAGGACTGACGCGTACCAAGTACCCACATAAAACATACAAGATTAGGTAAGCTTTAGAAAATGTTACTGGCTCATGCTGTAGTCACTAGCTACTCTGTATACAAATACATTATAGCTCAGCTTTCGGCCAAGCAGGCATCATAACTAGCCATATGCTTTTGGCACTATGTCAAACAAACAAATTTGAAAAAAAAATGTTACATATGGTACATGTATTTTGAGAGACTATTTTTAAATGAAAAAAAAAATTGCTCAACTTTTTTTAGAATGTGTTGCGAATTTGCAACAATAGGAAGATGCGGGATCCGGAGTAACAACGGTTGAGAACCACTGAAAGAACGTAGTTGTCCTTCACTCTATTGTGGTTCCCTTTTTAAGGCTTCACTTCTACATATATAACGGATTATGTGCTATTATTATTTTTTCCACACGGACTGTTACTGAAGACTCATTTAGCAATAGGCGCAAGCTAGGAGGAAATCAAAGAGGGTATAAAAGACAGAGAATGTCCACCATTTGGGATCATTTTACACGTAATAACATTTGCTAAAGGGCAACGTGCTGATTGCAAGGTAGAACTGGCTTTCGTTACACAACTCCACATCTATAGTCAACATTGCTAGCCAATTTAGCATAGCCTACCATAGCTAGTTAGAATGAAATGCAGTCCCTCTGCAGGTGTTTAGGCTACAGGAAGGAAGAGACAAAGCCGCTTGTACAGTTTTGATTGCTTTATTGATCAAACAGTGACAAAATACAGGAAACACAAGCTAATTTCTTTGACGACCTGCCAATGGCCTCAACAAACGCCATCCCTCAACACGCAGAGTGACTGGTTTAGCTATTTGACAGTCAACCATCTCTACATTCTCAGTTGCTGACGTTTACATCACTCAACAGGCCTGGCCTGCCTTTAAAAGGCACAGTGACTGGTTTAGCTAGCTAACAGTCAACCATCTCTAAATTCTCAGTCACTCACGTTTACATCACTCAACAGGCCTGGCCCGCCTTTAAAAGGCACACACGCATTCCACATCACAGATACTACAGTGTAGATGACGAGGATGGTGACACCAGGTGGACAAAAATAATAGCCTCGCATGCATATATTCTGGTGTTATGCGAAAGAAATTTTAACATGTTTAAGAGTAATAAAATAAATATTTGGGTGGCTCTTTGCGGGGTTCATCTATTGTAGGGGCAATCTGAAATTACCCTACCTGCAGTTTCTAATTCAAGAATCACGGGTTTGGGAAGATGGTTTGTCAAAGTCTACATTTACATCTGATTTTGGCAAAAGTTAAAAAAAATACAAGCATGAATGAAACATTTAGTATGATTAGTGGTGAGTGAGGTCCACTATATCGAAATATGTGAAATGCAACGATTCATACTCTGCTTCTCTGTGTGGAGAGCATAAAAATTTACAACTGAGTGTATGGAATTCCTTGTCCCGCAATAAGCTTAATAAATGAAGCGATCATGTCAAAAAAACATTGGTATGGGAGTCTTTTATTCCAGTCAACACCACCCTCTAGTGTACGTAGGAGGAAAATAAACTTTGTGAAAAAGCTGTTCTTGGTACAAAAAGTATTTCAAAACTGAGGAACCAATAATTCCTGAAGAAAGACCAGCGTTGGTCTTCCTTTATGATCTAAATTCTCAGTCACTCACGTTTACATCACTCAACAGGCCTGGCCCGCCTTTAAAAGGCACACACGCATTCCACATCACAGATACTACAGTGTAGATGACGAGGATGGTGACACCAGGTGGACAAAAATAATAGCCTCGCATGCATATATTCTGGTGTTATGCGAAAGAAATTTTAACATGTTTAAGAGTAATAAAATAAATATTTGGGTGGCTCTTTGCGGGGTTCATCTATTGTAGGGGCAATCTGAAATTACCCTACCTGCAGTTTCTAATTCAAGAATCACGGGTTTGGGAAGATGGTTTGTCAAAGTCTACATTTACATCTGATTTTGGCAAAAGTTAAAAAAAATACAAGCATGAATGAAACATTTAGTATGATTAGTGGTGAGTGAGGTCCACTATATCGAAATATGTGAAATGCAACGATTCATACTCTGCTTCTCTGTGTGGAGAGCATAAAAATTTACAACTGAGTGTATGGAATTCCTTGTCCCGCAATAAGCTTAATAAATGAAGCGATCATGTCAAAAAAACATTGGTATGGGAGTCTTTTATTCCAGTCAACACCACCCTCTAGTGTACGTAGGAGGAAAATAAACTTTGTGAAAAAGCTGTTCTTGGTACAAAAAATATTTCAAAACTGAGCAACCAATAATTCCTGAAGAAAGACCAGCGTTGGTCTTCCTTTATGAATGAGATCCCCGTTTATGAAACAAAAACGTCTCACTCCGGAACAAAAAGCAAACAAAGCAAAACATGAACATAAAATAAAGGAACTGCAGGAACTGAACATCTTCATTTGTTGAATTTGCGGCATTCGAACGCCATTTACCGAAATCAAAAGCTATTTCAACCAAAAACATCTTCATGTTTTAATTCACAATTTATTTGATATTCCCTTGCCAGTCCCTTGGGAAGGTTTTACAATTCCGCAGTTACGGTATTGCACAGAATTGCCGTCAAACAATTGTTGTCCCTTTGTTGTGCGTACGTGTGTGTACAGCCAAACTTTCCCGGTGAGCATAACTCCGACCACAAATTGAACAACGATAGGGTTTTTCCCCCGTGTGTATTCTCATGTGTCGAACCATGTCGGACTTTTGAGTGAAAGCTTTAGCACAAACTGAACAACTAAAAGGCTTTTCGCCTGTGTGTATTCGCATGTGTTTAATCATATTTGCCCTTTGAATGAATGTTTTACTGCAAACTGAGCAACTGAAGGGCTTTTCTCCCGTGTGTATTCTCACATGTATGACCATATCCGACTTAACAGAGAACACTTTACCGCAAACTGAGCAACGAAATGGTTTTTCCCCAGTGTGCGTTCTCATGTGCGCTACCAAACTTTCCTTATGAGAGAATCGTTTATCACAAAGTGAGCAACCGAAAGGTTTTTCTCCCGTGTGTACTCTCATGTGTGACTTCACCGAGTCCTTTCGAGAGAATGTTTTTCCACAAGTTGAGCAACTAAAGGGTTTTTCTCCCATGTGTGTTCTCATGTGTTTTACCATGTTTTCCTTTTGAAAGAATGTTTTACCGCAAACTGAGCAACAGAAGGGTTTCTCTCCCGTGTGTATTTTCATGTGTTTTACCAGGTTGGATTTTTTGGTGGCTTTTTTACCACAAACTGAGCAGCTGAAATGTTCTTTACGTGCACACATTCTCCTGCGTGTTGGAGAAGTTTTCTTGTTCATAGTTGTGTCCTTTTCAGAGCTTTTCAACAGTTTGTCATCAACTCGACAGTCGGTGTCGCTCCTTGAAGGTTCTTCTATGTCGTCGCTGCATGACAGTGGAGCTAAGAGGTCGTCTGATGGCGCTCCTCCACGATTTGGACCGTGAAGATGAAGCTGCGGCATTTGGGGTGGTTTGTCGTCTTCGTCCTTCACGACGACGATGATCAGTGGCAACTTGCTGATGTCAGCCTCCTCCTCTTCCTCTTCGTCTTTAATATGGAGGGGCTGTGCATCCACCCGTTCCAAACTGGGACTCCCACACCGAAGGGGAAGCTCTTCTTTATGGACGTCTGCAGTGCACGACCAATACAAACATAGTTTAGAAGACAGTTGTTATGATTTGATAGACATTCTCCAAGTGTTCGATGAAACATAAGACAGTCAGTGTAACTGCTTATTATTAGAAAGAAATAACAAATCCCAACCAGTGTGCAGCAGAACAAACTCATAGTGCCAAATGAAGAATGAAATTGAATGTAAATTTAAATACCCAATTTGATCTAATTTGTCTTCTAATTAATTCCCGTTTAATTTATTTTTCAATAGTTAATAAAGATTTTTAAAGCAAACCGGAAGTTTACTAACCTGGGTTCCGTGTTTGGTCACGTGACGTTCGAGCTATAAAGGGCTGTCGTTGTCGCTCAGTCTCCTCTCTCACTCGACAAAGTTGCTCCTCGCCCGACGCCATGATTCTTTTCGGAAATCACGTAGATTTCGACGTTAGACGCAAGAAGTCGCTCCCTTTTAACAACCCTGGTAACGTTTTTCCCCTCAGTCTCGTCCTCTCGTCTCTCCGCCTCTTTGCTTACGTCCACATGTCTTCTTCTTTTCCGTCGTCTTCTCGTACTTGTGGTTGGCAGCGTTAAGTTGCATTACCGCCACCTTCTGTGCCGGTGTTTCGTTCAGCACAACTAAGTCACACTGACTACGAGGCAACCATATCGGGGCTGCGGGGCATTACATTGACATAGAAACTAAGTCGTAACTTGCTCATTTCTCATATTTACTTTTTTTTGTCAATTCCAAAACGTATGCTATCAATATGAGTGCAGTGTTTGAAAAGAAGTGCTGAATTATTGTGACATGTTAAATGTTATTCCCACTTTGCTTGTAAATGGACAACGTTGCAAATTGAGTAAAACTGATGTAATTAATCATTCTCCTAAATAAAAGCTCGAATTAAAGAAGTCCTGTGCTTGTGGAAATCCTCATTCATCCAGGTCATTTCATGCTCAGAGCGTTGAAACCAATGCAACTGGCCTGCTGTTTTTGCCCAACCAGAGCAGTTGAGTCAGTCAAACACAATATGTAGTGCAATTTTTCCTGCCATTAAAATACACATCACAACATTTTTTTAGGCCCATGTAGATGGACGATAACAAACTCACTCACTTATATTCTTTGTCCTCTTTGAAAAATGAGTAATATAACTGCAGCTTATTGATGAGTTGACTCATGTTTTGGGGGGATGCGGAACGGATTAGTGGTGTTTTCAGTCATTTAAATCTGTAAAAAATATATATCATTTGAGATATTTCACCTTTAAAATGGAAAAAATGGAAGTAACATCTGACAAGGCCTAAACAAGGGTCAGAAAACACAGTCGAGCTCAATTCAATTGCTCTAAATATACATTTCAATTCCCTTCCATTTCTTAAATACTATGTTTCCTGGTTTACTGTGGATGAAATTCTTGAGGCGTGACAAAACTGGCTTCTATAAATAACTACATTCCAGTCCTTTGAGTGTTTCTGTGACTTTTTTTTCCGTTGCGCGGTGAGTTTGCCGAGGCCGGTGGCCTCCAGGAAATGGCGACGCAATGCGTGTGCGCTGCCCGGAGCGAGGACGCACCACTGGGAGGAGAAACTAGCAAACAGCAACAGGCGTCAGCAGCTTCGAGCAGCACTTCAAGGTAAGCGAACACTCATGGAAATACAATCTAAATCACCGACAAAAAGTCGTAAGAGACCGAGACGTTCGTGGTTTGATATGTCCGCCAGTTTGTGAACTTGTTTTATTGTTTTTTTTCTCGTTGTTCGGTGACCGTTTTAATGTCTGTGGGTTTGTTAGCGGAAGATGGGCTTGGCTCTCCTCCGGTTTCGAAATCCTTCTCCTCCGGTTTTGCGGTGTCGCTTGGCTGACGAGTTAAAACATTTTTAGACGTTCTCTTCGGCAGGAAAGAAAGATGAGCGACCCCAATGCGCCCAAAGTCGAGCTTTTTGTCAAGGTAAGGACGAGACTTTTTTTTTTCTACTGGCACGCACACCGTGACGTGGGCTCCCCACCACCACTTTAGGTTGAAACTGCGCGACGGAGATTCATTTGGTGAATTATGAAATATTATGTTCACGTCTGTCTATCGTTAAGCATACATGAGGCAGACGTGTGTCAGTGTCAGTCAGAAAGCCTGTGTTGACTTACTAGCTGTGTAAACCACTAATCTTATTAGAAGCACATTAACATCAGACCTGAATCTATATTTAGTCCTGAAGCCTGTTGGCCACAGAGAGTATTCACATATTTATGTTTTTCATGAAAGAGTTCAACACTCATATGTTCTGCACAAGTTTCCATAATGATTCCTCTGTGTGATCATGTGCTACACCCTCTACTTTTTTTTTTCTCAAACTCTCCATGGAAGAAAGATGCTGTTGTTTTAACTTCTCGGAATAATGCTGCCACTTCAACTTCCATACCATTCCAATTCAGGGTGTCATTTAAAATGTGAGATACTTTTGTGAGATGCTGAATGCAACATTTCTGTTTTGTCTTGCAGGCAGGGAGTGACGGCCAAAGTATCGGCAACTGTCCCTTCTCCCAACGTCTCTTCATGGTGCTGTGGCTTAAAGGTGTCACCTTTGATGTTACCACAGTGGACATGAAGAGGTGGGAACCTCCGATTTGATGCACCACAATACCGCTCATTGACATATCTTGGGATTTTAAAGCAGACTGACTTTCAATCCGAAAAAAAAAATCTCTATTTATCATCTCATTTCTTCTCTTTCTTCTTCTCATCCACTGAAAGGAAGCCGGACATTTTGAACGACCTGGCTCCCGGTGCCCAGCCGCCCTTCCTGTTGTACGGCAAAGAGGTGAAAACTGACACCAACAAGATCGAGGAGTTCCTGGAGGACAATCTCTGCCCCCCAAAGTAGTCGACCGCATTCATCAATTTTGCCATTCCTTTCTTTTAATGTGGTTCCGTACTTTGTACTGAATAACGAGGGTTCTCTCTGCCATTCAGGTACCCTCGTTTGGCAGCGCGTAACCCAGAGTCAAACACAGCAGGCATGGATGTCTTCTCCAAGTTCTCGGCTTACATCAAAAACTCCAACCCTCTGACCAATGAAAGTGAGTCAGAAACAATTCGCGAGGCACTTTTTTGGGGCGGGGGTGTTTAATGAAACATCTTTTTGACTTCTTTCACGCACTTGTGTGCTCAGATCTCGAGAAAGGACTTCTGAAAGCTCTGAAGAAACTCGACGACTACCTCGGCTCCCCCCTTCCTGACGAAATTGACCAAAATAGCGCCGATGAAGTCACTTCCTCGTCCCGCCCCTTCCTCGATGGCCAAGACCTTACGCTCGCCGACTGCAATTTGCTTCCAAAGCTCCACATTGTCAAGGTCATGAAGCTTTTCTCTCTTTTGCTGCCTTTATTGGGCATAATTTCCATTTAGTACTTTTGAGTCAAATTGGACACCACACACACACACACACACAGCTAAAGTGTTTTCTTCTTTTCATTTTAGGTTGTGTGTTTACGGTACCGAAAATTCTCCATCCCTCAGTCTCTGTCCAACCTGTGGAGGTACCTGAACGCAGCATACGCCCGGGACGAGTTTGCCTCCACCTGCCCGATTGATGATGAGATCCACTTGGCTTATGCTTCTGTGGCCAAAGTTCTCAAGTAGGCTTGGGGGGGGGAAATTGGTTCGGATTCATCCTAAATTCAATAAGTGGAAGAATATATACAAGTGTACAAACAAGCAAAACAACAGCACATACGTTACATAATTGGGGTTGTTTGGGGTTCTTTGTTCCGTCACGAAATACAGTGAACCCCCTTTTATCACCGGGGACAAAATCATTTTCATGGTGTTACCGCTCCCACCGCCTATAAAAACGTGTTTTAAAATAAGTGAATTACACTTTCTAAAGTATTCCTTAGTGCCTCTTTTCACTCTTGTCAAGAAATTGGGGACTATCATAAAACATCACTCTGAGAGAGATAAAAAAAAAAAAGACGGGAGAAGCGTGCTTCGAGCTGTTTATATGTCACACTCAGTTACGTTTACTGAACAACTGACACAAAACAAAAATGGTAAACCAAACCAGGTCATTAAAAAGCTAGCTACATGCTATCATTTAATGTGAAAGCCTTTGATAGACTAATGGAAATTAGCTTCGATGTTAACAGTAAAAATACTCGCACCCACATGGCCTCAAGTAGTAGAGTTTAATTAAAAACTCAATGGTGCCCAGTCATGTTGCGGAAAGAACGCAACTTAAAATTCAGCCCTGTCTGTAGACCGTAAAAATCAATTAAAAAAAAACATTTGCTACAAAATCCACATTATAACAGTGATGCTAAAGATGACTCGTGATGCGCTGGGGGTTCACTGTACACAATTCGTTTGTACTTTTGGGAGATTTTACAGCCACAAAGCTGCCAAGTCAGATGAAACCTTCTAAACTTATTAAGCTTCAATGTCAATCTTATTTTATTTAGTCCATAATTCAACAACGCGGGGCCAAAGTATTTCACGTTCACATTTATTACTCCTCGATGCGACAAGCATTGTCAAACTTTAAATGTAAAAGCATTTTTGTTCGTCGTAGCACACAATAACTCGGAAGTCGGAGGCGGGGTGGGGGGGGTTGCACAGACGCAGGGACAGGAAGCCATTTCAAGAGCTCGAATCTATTGAAATGGTTTCCTTTTCAGCAGCTGTGAATGACTGCTGTAACCTGCTGAGGCAAGGAGCTACATTTCAATCCATCGTTCATGTATGAAGGACTGTTTTTGTAGAATGTTAAAAAAAAAAAAAGTTTTGCACAAATTTCTTTGGGAGTATCGACGACGCGCAAGTAAATTTGGTGAATTTCTATCAGGGGGGAAAAAAAATTGTAGGGCACACTTCACCCGTGAATTAATCAAATAATATGATGAAATATTTGTTCACACGCTTCTGGCAAGCCGACTGAACGCAGCTGACAAAAGAAACGATTTCAGGGCGTGTAGTTCTTAGTCAGCAAAAGCACAAATGTTGCATAATCCTATTCAACCGCTCATACAATGCGGGCGTGACACAGCATTCATCTCAGCATGATTATAAATTAGAAATGGATCTTGCAACTTTTCTCCGGAGTGTGTTCATTTTTCTTGGGTGTGGCCCCCCCAATCCTCCATCATATGAATTGAGTATAGCACTTAGCGCTGTGCTGCAAATGTTATGTGCATGTCACAAGTTGCTCAGACAAAGGGGGGCGGGGGGGGGGGCAACAGGAAGCTGATGATGCTGCGACTAAAAATAATAGTGGGTTTTCGATCGGGTTTTAAGATAAGCTTGAAGAAATGTGCACTCGCGTGAATGAAGGATCCACATTTAGGGCAGTGAAGGAAAACATTGAAAAAGGGACTTGAAGTCAATTTACTGTTTGTTTCCCTCTTGTTTAGCTCGCTCGGATAGGGGGGTAAAAAAAAATGCAGACTGGGATCATTTAGTTTTATTGTGTGTTAGCAGTTACAGTGACTTAACAAGTGACTTGAGAGTGAACTAAACTCGATGTAATTATGGCGATACGGCTTCATGAGCTGTAGCGGCAGCTTTTTTTTTCGCTGGCCCCGTGCTTCATGAAACTGTCGGCGAAAGGAATTCAAATTTCATTGAACGAAAGTTCACGTCTTTGTAAGGAGTCCACCTTAGCCTCATGTTGACCAGATGAAAGGTTAATTCAAGAAGAAAATTCAAACCACCTAAGTGCAATTTCAGAATAAAAACGTTTTTTTTTTTTGTACATTGCTTTTGACATTTTTTCCTGTTTTGCTACACGACTTCTATTTGGAGAAGTGGCCCCTTCTTTCAACTGAAGTGAAAAGACTTTTTTTTTTTTTTTTTTTTTTTTTTGACTGAACTGTTTCCTCAATGAATCAATTAAAGGGACAGTGTCTTAAATATTTTCACGACCACGTTTTAGATTTCTTTATGTACTGTAGAGTTGAATACAGTTTCAGGGACCGAACTCAATAAAATGTTTTTTTTTTTTTGTTTCTTTGTTTGTTTGACGCCTCTCTTTTAACTTCTTGTTTCTTAATACATTGCGTGTTGTTTTTAGTATTATTTTTTTATGACACCTTTTACATTTCAGCTTGTTACTTTCCAATATAGACCTTTTTGTGTTAACAACATTTAGTTCACAGAAAAGTGGCCATGAAGCAAGTCTATTGAAATAATTGGCAGACAAATGTCCAAAACCACATTTCATCGGTGCATTTTTTTCAAAATAAAGTTTTCTTTCGGAACGGGCAGTGTCTTCAGTCTCTGCATACGCTACGATCTACTGTTGTGCATGTTCATGGTCACTTGGCATGGGAACTTGATTTTTGTTAACAGTTAATGCTGACTTGTTGTTTGATCGGGAGTAGCACATCTGCCTAGGGACAATTTTGAGTGTTCATTCAGCCTGCCATGCATGATTTTGGAACGTGGGGGGAAACCGGAGTACCCGGAGAAAACCCACACAGGCCCGGGGGGAAGAACATGCAAACTCCACATGGGAAGGCCAGAGCCGGGATTGAACCCACGACCTCTGCACTGTGAGGTCAACGAGCTAACCGCTGGTCCACCGGGCCTCCCTCCTATGTTATTATATTACAAAAAAACAAACAAAAAAAATTCGATGCATGGGTTACTATACATTTCAAGAACCGTACAAATGTACATTTTCAAGTAGAGCGACTTGACTTTGGCTTCCACATCTCTCAAAGACAATTCAATGTATATCACGATGCACGCGGTGCGATAAGATACAAGGACAGTAGATTTCGGTGTGTCATCACTGATAATGACAATAATAATTTATTATCAGTTTAATTCAACCCGATTTTTTTCCCCAATTCAAATCCGTTTTTCCTTCACACCGGTGGTAGTTTGGCATAATCGCACTGATGTCGATTTTTAGAGCTCGTGGACTCCCATGAAGAAGAACCACTGCGCTGGGGGGTGCAATGTAGTTTAGTAGCCTTTCCTTTTCCAGTCATTCTCAAATTATTTGGATGACAGGGGGCAGAGAGCGACATCTCATGTCGTGTCCGTGGGAGCTTTCAGGCGAGCAAGAGGCTCAGCGCAGGGAGCAGGCAGAGTGCTGCTCCTCTCCACTTGGCGGAATCAAGCGCCGACGTCCCGTTACACAGGTCTGTATTGCAGCACACGTTGGTGTAGTTGAAATAAAGGCCGTTGGTGTATTTCTGCCCGCTCACGCCACATTGAGAAGGAACAGCGCAGCTTTTTTCGTACAAGGTGATCTGAAGTGCACCTAGAGATGAAGAAGTGGAAAATGTAAATGTCTACACCGTTATCCATCTGCATAGAAATTCATGCTAAATGTTAGCAGGGTAGAATCTCACACTCACTATTTCCTGAGGGGAAAATGAATTTTGAAAATAAGTCAATTGGAAGTTTGTCATGTTAGAATTTTTTTTTTTAATCTGTCAGGTTCCATTTTTAACTTGTGCTCTTGGCTCCTCCACTCATTGGAAGCATTTAGATTATACTCACTGGGCCACGTCTTTGACTCTAAAGTCAACGCTGAGCACAGCAGAACAATAGAGTCAATATTTTCCAATGCGGAGCATCGGAGACGTGACACAATGAATCTTTTGTCTTGGCCATTTGTGCAACAATGGGGCCACAGTTTGACACACAAAACCCGTCACCTCGTTTTGCTGTTGCGACGCTGGACAGGCAGCGATGTCCATCTGCGCAACGCTCGGGAAACTTTAGGCAGTCCATCGGAGAAATGGCAGGAAACACACAAGTATAGCACGTCAAACACGCTGAAACAGAACACAAACGTAATTCTCATTTTTTTATTTTAACAAAGGAAAAGAATCATAGTTCTTTTACAGATTAAAAAAAAAACTGGTGGGGATAATATAGATGGTTTGCATTGGCCAATCATGAATTGTTGCGGAGGACGTATCTGCAAAGCAATAAAGCGATAGATAGCTCAGATGTTCTTGTAGGCTTTTCCTGACATTTTTTTTTTTTTTATTCCTAGGGGAAGCCTGCAGGTTTTGTGCAAATACAGATTGCTATCTGGAACTGTTTATAAGTCAGTCCACCTTGACTAAGGTCCCAGCGCCACCATCACGGTATGGTCTTTTTTTTTTTTTTTTTGCGGCAAACATCCATTCAGAAAGTTCAAGTAAAAAAAGAGAGAATATATATATAAAACAGTCACAATCAAAGAAACGTCCAGTGCAGTTACATTTTAATGCAATTATACTTACTTGCCAAAGGAAGACACAGTAGCAAGAGAAGCTGCGAGGCAGAGGCAGACATGATGCTTTCTTCCACTCCAACGCGTAGCTCTCGAATCGCGAGTCAAACTTCTGCAGCAACTTTCCAAAATTGTTTCTAATTCAATCTGCCGTTTCTGCTGAAGTGCACACCCCTCTTATTAGTATTCTGCCTCCCCGAACTCCTCCGTCCCCTTCTTGAAATCTGCGGCTTCTCGGAAACCAGACGTTTGTGACGTTTCATCAACTGTTATCATTATTAAATAACGACACAAATAAAAGCAAAACATAACGAATGTGATCGATGATTAGAAAATGCGCAACTTTGCTCCGAACTTGATGAGGAGGTGATGGGAGCGGGTGGCCGCTGAACTCAAACTCAAACTCAGAAGCATCAACTACAGCCAATTGGACTGAGTGCGATACACGTCAGCGCATCCGCCATATTGGATGTGTCAGATTTGCCTGGGAAACTAATACAAATCCACAGACTAGTGAGAGCCTACAACGTTTGCAAAATTAACACTTCTCATTCACACCTTCAAAAACAAGCAACAACAACAACATGCACTTTTGAATTCGATATTGATAAATGTTTCCTCCGGTATAGATTATTGTGCCAGATATCTCCTAGAAATTGTCGGGAATTGTGTGTTGTCTGAAATTTCTCACCTAAAATCTCAAGATTGTTGGTGTATGCAAATTCTGCCTTATTATGGTCTTTGTGCACCATCCTACATACAGCTCCAATTTTTGTTTCACTTTTTAAGGCATGTTTAATTTCAGTTGGACTCAGTTTCAGGGTGTCTGTCTTTGGAGGTCACAGTAGATTCTCGTTAGAAAGTTAATGTGAAACCTCATTGCGAAGTCCCACATAAAATACTAAATTACAGAATGCAACACTGTTCCCCAGAGTAAAAAATAGATGCACCGCACAAACATTCCATTGATCCGCAATGTCAAATATTATTTGGGATTGTGCAAATGATTCTTTGACATGGTCTCAAGTGTCATCACGTAAAAAGAATCATCGGAGTGCTTGGTGTGTCATTTACACAAGCATGCAAACAAAGACTGGAGAGAGTAAGACCTGAGAGAGTCAGAAGATAGGAACGTCTAGTTTAACCGAATTATCCTTGAGTTGTAATGGGAGACGTGAGGAAAACATGCTGGACGGTCTGCTGACTGGAGGTCTTGTGATGGGACCAGTCAAGTGGCTCAGACTGGATAAGCTGTTTACCAGTTAATTAGAGAGAAGCACAGGATAACATCGTGGTTAGTGTAAAAATTCACATGATTAGTTAACAGATTAATTGTTTTTGCTAAAGAAGTTGTTTCTCTTGTAGCAACAGTAGTTCTACACACTGTATATTTTATTGTATTCATTTTGATACATATGATGATGGATTTATTTTATCATTACTTATTAAAAGAAGATGTCATCTTTTTTTCCCTATCAAATTGAAATGAAATATTTAATGAATTGGAAAAATACAATTTGACTGCCTCCTAGTGTAGGGCAACAAAAATGCAAAGGAATTCAATTGTACGGTCATAGATGTTCATCATCACAAGTATCATTTGAACTGTCATGCAAGCACAGCAAGAATTTAGCCGCTGGATAATAAAAAGAAGTAAAAACTTAATTAATTTCAGAAAAAGAGCCACATAAGGAAGAGGCAACAGGAAGTAGTTTTCAGAGCAGCACTGCCACCCTGTGGGGTTTCAAATGATTGCTATTTCATGTGACTATGCTAAAGGGCACATGGCAATATATTTTGCAAAGCACGAGAATATGCATGTCAAATTTTTGATGAAGACTGATGTTTGTACCCCAAAACGGAAGCTGCGTCATAAAATGAGTCGTCAGAGATAAACGAAACAATTTTACTCATCATTAAATGTATACTATTGATCCTGCTCATTTTAAAAATAGATATCGATTTTATTTGGAATACTTTTATTGTGGTATTTTATTTTCTTTTTTACAATTAAACTTATGTGTTATTTGAGGTGAGGTCTCTTTATCCTCGGGCCGCCAATGGGAGGGGACCTTTTCTCCCTCCTCTTCTTGTTTCGTAGTTGTGCTGCGTAGCACTACATTGGAGATGTGCAAGCTCTAAATTCAGACTTGCTTCTTCACTGTAAAAATCTATTTAAAATACACAATGCTAACAGTGGCCTCAGACCGTCTTATTTACTGAAGGAACCCCACCAGTGTTGTTCATGTGTTTACATGAATGTTTGGCTGCTGGATCTTAGCGGACAGATGGTGTTCTTTAATCCTGTCTGTGCCCTCTACTTGCCATCTTTCTTCCAACCCCCCTAACTCACTCATTCCTCCTCTGTTATTCCACTACTTTATCTGCCCAGATATTTTGTTTTTGTCCCACTTCACCACTGATTTATGTCTTTGCGCCGTCCCTGGACTTGACTGTTACTCAGA